TTGACTTTTGGAAAGCAACCTTATAAACTGATCTTCAGTAAGGTTTTACCGGCTTAGTATATAAACTGTCCCCCCAATTTTTGCACTTTATCATTTTGCGGTATGGATTGGAGCAAAGAGAAAGAAGTGTTAGTCTCCGGAAAACCATCCATTAAAGGCAGGTATTACGCTTCATTATCTTTGTTATCAGAGTCCCTAATATCGCTCTGGTGATAATTCCTCCTGTTGCTAATTCCTCCCTAATTTCCACTGTTTGGAGTTTAAGAGGCAACTTATATTTTAGCCAAGATAAGTGAGAAATGGGCACAGGGATATGAAAAGAAATAATAAAATGCTCAAAAATGATTAAATACATCTTTAATGGTGACCAGGGGATAAACAGCCTATTCGTGATTCATGGGAAAATGTGTATACAGTCAACTTGTAAAGAGAAGGCTTCAAAATTAAAAGAATAAGAATTTGTACTAAGCCAATATTTAAAGCTAGTAAAATTTCTATTCCGTGCCGACTAACTTCTCCTTAAGGTTAGAACCAAGAGTTTAGCACTTGTTCCATGTGGTTAATTTTGACTTCTCAGTGAGATTTATAAACCATCTCGTACTCCTTTATAACAAAGAGTTTTACATTTCCTAAGTTTGCAAGTGATCTTAAATAAACCTTTGATTTTCTCATTGTAATGAGTTTCTGTTGCATGTAAAATTATTTTAAATAATTGAAATCATTCTATTTAACACATAGTTTAAGGTTTTCAATGTTACTAAAGGATCATAAATCGGAAAATGCAGTTAACAGAGATTTTTCACACATTGTTTCTAAATTCCATCTTGTGTTTCAGAACTGACACCCTTTTCAAATTAGGCCCTAGTAGAGTTGTTTAATTTGGCCCTTTGTTGTTGTTTTTTTACTTTTGAAAAGGCATTCATTGGGTTCAGAAATCAAAAGATACACAAAGGTATGTAGAGCAAACTTCCCTTCCACCCCTGTCCCCGGTCACTCAGTTTGTCTCTGCAGGGCAGCCCTGGCTATCCTTCCAAAGATATTTTACCCATATCCCAGAAAATAGGTTTACATATTCTTTTCTCTCCCTTTTCCACATACATGGTAGCATACTCTACGTTCTGCATTGCACCTTGTGTTTCTCACTTTACGCTTGAGGATCAGTCCTTACGCACACTACACAAAGAGCTTCCTCTTTCTTCTTTTTTTTTTTAAGATTTTATTTTTTTCTTTTTCTCCCCAAAGCCCCCCAGTACATAGTTATGTATTTTTAGTTGTGGGTCCTTCTAGTTGTGGCATGTGGGATGCTGCCTCAGCATGGCCTGACGAGCGGTAACATGTCCACACCCAGGATTCGAACCAGTGAAACCCTGGGCCGCCAAAGTGGAGCGCTCGAACTTAACCACTCGGCCACGGGGCCGGCCCCTTCCTCTTTCTTCTTGATGGATATCTGGTCTCCCAACGAATGGCTATATCATACTTTATTTAATGAATCCCCTATTAATGGACAGTTGGGTTGTTTCCAACCTTTTGCTATTGACAACTAGCTCTTAGTGAGTGCGAAGCTTCATTCTAGTTGCTTCACATAAATTATTTTATGTAATCCTTAGTGCTGCCAAAAAATCCTTTCACATACATGATTTCACACAAGGGGAATATTTATGCTGGACAAATTCCTAGAAGTAGATCTCTAGATCAAAGGTGTGTGCATTTAATTTTGGCAGATATAGTGGATGTGCCAATTTATATCCCCGCCAGCAGCACTGAGAACATGCCTGATTGCTCACACCGTGTGCTATCGAACTTTTTGATTTTTGCTCATCCGACAGGTAAAAACGTGTATTTCAGTATAGCTTTAGTTTGTATTTCTCTTGTGAGTGAGATTACACATCCTTTTGTAAGTTTAAGAACCACTTATATGTCCTTTTCTATAAAATATTGTAGCATCTGCTCATTTTTAGATTGAGTTGTCTTTTTCATGATGATTTGTAGGTCCTCTCCATATAGTAGGGAAGTTAGACATTGCCTATGATATGAATTAAAAATGTTCTCTTGGCTTTGATTAAAAAGTTTTTTGCCATGAAGAATTTTAGAAGTTTTTATATAATTGATATTATCAATATTTTTTGGTTTCTGGTTGTTAGAAAGCCTAAGATTATAAAAAAAAGATTTCCCATGGTTTTTAGTGTTTTGTGGTTTTATTTTTTTACATTTAAAGCTTTGATCCTTCGAAGTTTACCCTAATAAAATTTGAGGATTTTATAAGGAGCGAGGGATAAATTCAACTTTTTTTCCCTAGATAGATACCTGGTTTTACCAACATTTATTGACTAAACTATCTTCTACAAATCAGAGATGTTGCCTCTTATCATAAGCTAAATTCTTGTCCTAACAGAGTTTTAGAATGAGATGTTGAAGATTATGTAGTGATGCTAAGTTTGGATGTTCTAGTCCTCATAGTCAAGCTTACCAAGAAAGTAATTATGGAGCTTATTATTTCCTGTTGAAAACAATAACATACCAAACTTCTGAGAGCACATTATCCAAATAGAAATATGTATGGCTCTCGGCAAAAGAAATTCATGGCAAATAAAAACTGAGAATTATTTAATCAGATGCTTTTCAGAATAATCTTTGTTTTGCTTTATTGAAGTGGACAGTTAGTTTGGTATAGTGGAAAAACACAGGACTGGGAGGCAAGAGACCTGCGGATGTGTTTTGTCTCAGTCTAGTCTCTTCCTCATTTAACAATAACAACAAACACTTAGAACATTGCCTGGCCTACGGTAAGTGCTAAAAGTTTACATATATTAATTCATTCAGTATATGTAATTAATAAAAAGTTTGTAATCTTATGAATTATACAAATGTTAAATATTATTACTTCTAGAAATGCTGATAGGCCCTTTCAGTTCAGGGAAAAAAAACCCACTGACACTATTATGAGCTACAGGCATGCTATATAGTATATGGCTGTAAAGTAGAGTGATGATCCTAGGACAGCCTGTGGGCCACAGCCTTCCCAGCGTTCCCCCTTACCTTCACATTTTTATGCCTTTGCTTATGCTGTTCCCTAAGTCTGAATGTCCTCCCTCCCTACACCCCCCCAACACAGAAGTGTGTACCCTTTTTTCCTTTAAGGACTACCTCCAATGTCATCTCCTGGCCTCTCTTCCAGGGAGAATTATTCATGTGGTCTTCTAATTCCCTGGCACTTTATATACATTACCATAGAGGGAGCTTAAATATTTATTTTGTTTCATCAGTTGGTCAGTTGAGTTTCTTGAAGGCGGGGCCTGCACGTTATTCATCTTGGTATCTCTGCGCAGCTCCTGACGTAGTTCCTGGCCTGTAATAGATGTTCAGCTGGAAGAAAAGAATAAAAATTTGCATGCACGATTATACAGTAGCCTATTTGATAAAAGCTGGAAAGGCCTCAATCAGAATGAGCGCGTGTGAGTCCTGATAGCTGGCAAAACCAAACAATTGAATCATTTGTTATGTTTCTCTTTGTATGAGAACCTGAACGCCGAGTATTAAATGGTTTATGGCCTCTTTTAAAAGGTGTGATCTACAGGGTGAAAATCAGACATTTTCTGTGATTGTATATTTTAGCATTTGCATTTTATTTTAAAAAGCCACACTTAGGGTTCTAGCTAAATGAGTGTTGTTGATTAAAATTAGATTAGGAAATACAGAAACATTGCACTTACCAGTCAGACTTCTGCCAGCTACAACTATCTGGAACATATTCAAAAGCCCCAGAACGAATCCAGAAAGGTCTCCGAAGTTGGAAGAAAATAGCTCTCATAAAGCCTGTGCAGATGACGTAGGAAGGGAGGCACAGCGCCACTCGCATGCCAGAGCCGACTTACTGACTGAATTCTCATAGAAAATTCCAAGGACTGCTTAGCAAGTGTAGATATTCGGCTTCCTTTCAAGACGTTTTTGCTTGTCTTGGGTTTCGGTAGAAAAAAGGTTAAAAGAATTCTCCCACCCGTGCTGACAAAAGGCACTAACTAAAGCATTGTTGAAATGAGTGTAAAAGTGATTCTCATGTTTTTCTCCCATAAATTGTGGTAACTTACTTTGTTTTATTTTATTTATTTATTTTTTTGCTGAGGAAGATTAGCCCTGAGCTAACATCTTTTGCCAATCCTCCTCTTTTTTTGCTTGAGGAAGATTAGCCCTGAGCTAACATCCATGCCAGTCTTCCTCCACTTTATATGGTGGGTCATCACTGCCACAGCATGGCATCTTGAGTGGTATAGGTCTGCACCTGGGATCCGAGCCTGAGGACCCCCGGCCACTGAAGCAGAGCGTGCTGAACTTAACCACTAAGCCACGGGGCTGGCCCCATATATTGTTTAGTCTTTAAGAATTCTGATTGGCTCAAATAAAATGTGTTGTGACAATATTTAATTTATTCTACTATTTAAAAAATGTGTTTTAAAAAGAGTAATGTCCCTTTGATCTCACCTTTTTGAAAGGGGCTGACTAATTTGAGGTAGAAAGCCTTCTTTACTCCTTTATTCAGGTATTTATGTAATTTATCATAGGTTGAAATCTTTTTTTTTTTTTTTGAGGAAGATTAGCCCTGAGCTAACTACTGTCAATCCTCCTCTTTTTGCTGAGGAAGCCTGGCCCTGATCTAACATCTGTGCCCATCTTCCTCTACTTTATATGTGGGACGCCTGCCACAGGATGGCTTGACAAGCGGTGCCATGTCTATACTCGGGATCCGAACCGGCGAACCCCATGCACCAACCCAACCGCGGCACCACTGGGCTGGCCCCCATAGGTTGAAATCTTAAATGTGAAAAGAGCATGTGTAAATTTCTTTGCATAGCTTGGTAGAAGCTATATAAACAAGCCAAGAAGAAAAGTCAAAAGGCATGTTTAAATGATTTGGGGACCTATTTTAATGTATACTGAACATGCTTTTTGTGGAGGGACAGCAAATGACAACAGGTCTCATTCAGTTTTCTTTCTCCTCTTTCTAGATTGCCAAAATGCTTTGGAGTTTTTAACTGACTTTAAGAAAAGTCCAAAATAGACTTGAGACTGTAAAAACAGAAGCTGCAGCAAGGGGGATTCAGTGCCAATGCATCAACAAAAAAGACAGCCAGAGTTAGTGGAAGGAAATCTTCCTGTTTTTGTGTTTCCCACGGAGCTAATATTTTATGCGGATGACCAGTCAACGCATAAGCAAGTGTTGACTCTGTATAACCCCTATGAGTTTGCCTTAAAGTTCAAAGGTGAGTCTCCTCGGTGAGTCTCCTCGGTCAATTTTATGGATTTTAACTAGTCCCTACTAATTTTTTACTTGTACAAACTAATTTTTTAAAAACCACTAATGGCCATTGTGACTTTTTCTTTCAGTTTTGTGTACTACTCCAAATAAGTATGTTGTCGTTGACGCTGCAGGTGCAGTAAAGCCTCAGTGTTGTGTGGATATGTAAGTCAAAATCACTTCCTGGTAACATGTTTTAAGTGTGTTAATATTTCTGTGTTTAACTTGAAAAAGAAAAGTCTCAAAGCTGTTCCCACATAGGGATTTATTATATTTTGAGTTTTTACTGAAAGTTTTAGTCTATCAAAATTCTTTTAAAGACGTTTCTAAGAGATTCTAAACAGGTCGACCAAATACTTATATTTCATTAGGTTGGAGCTGATGTGTGTGTTAATATCCATGAATGTTTCCTCATTGTTGTGCTTTTAGTCATTGCAGGGACATTTATGAAGGTAAAGTTTTAACTTATCCCTTTAAATTTCTCTAGCTATAATAGGGAATTCAGCTTTCTTTGGAACATCCTGCTATTATAGTGATATTTGGGAAACTAATAATACTACACTCTTAGAACAATGGTAATATAAGTTCATCTGAGATGATTCACCTAATAAGCCTGGAAGTTACTCTATATAAACAGGAAACAAGTAGGTAACTACTCATCTGTAAAAGGTTATCTGAGCTCTTCCAGATAATTTCGTTTTAGAGTGTCAGATAAATGATTGTTTGTTCAAGCTGTTCATATTTAATTTTCACTTTAGAACTCGGGGTGACCAGATGGGTCCATTGACCAGCCCTTAATTTAAACTACCAAGTAAAATGTATTTAAGTCTTCCGTGAGAATGAGAAGCGGAAGTCTTTTCCTTTGAAGACATTTTCATCATCTCAAAGCCGTAAAGTGATGTATCTTTGAGGATGTGTTTTTGCATACTTCTTTTGGTTTTCATTCGGTACACAATAAGCAAGGACTATTCCAAAGAAATGTAGTGTCTTGCCAAATAAATGTGTTACCTTTGACCTAGTTGTTTTGTGTTCTCTAATAAGAATGAAGTAAAATAAATGGAATTGCAGATAACGCTCATAAAAATTAAACTGTTTTATACTTCTGAGAAATACGGAAGTGTATTGTTAGCCTCCTGTTGCATTGGTCACACTGGATTACTTACTTCAGATTCAATTGCTTGTTTTTACCTCATGCATGGACTTCAGTTTTAAATCTAGGGTGAGGTTTGTTACTTGAACAATAAATAAGTGGCAATAGAAATTTATGAGTCTTTTGTAGGAAAGAAACAATTTTATATATCCTATTTAGTAAATATTGCTGCACACAGATATCCAGGGAAAAAATAACATTACTAAAAGGAATTTTCTCTACTTAGCATTGTTTTACTTAAGACTTTTATTCTATTTTTAAGTTATTTTATTGGGGTCACCTGGGTTTATAACATTATATAAATTTCAGGGATATATCATTATATTTTGGCTTCTATGTAGACTGCATTGTGTTCACCACCAAAAGTCTAGTTTCCATCTGATCTGTGTTTTAGAGAATGTATTTTTGTCAACTATTTCAAAATGACCCAATTCTTTAGGAATTATACTATTATTTTTTTTTAAGCATCATTAGCAAATTTCTGTATTTGAGTATTTGGTTATAGCCAGTTAATATTGTTTTACTGTATGCAGTCCCTTGCTGAATTCTGTTTGACAGGCCCCCAGAAATCTAAACAGCATTTCTTTTTTAATGTTTTCAGTGTGATTCGTCATAGAGACGTTCGATCCTGTCACTATGGTGTAATAGACAAATTCCGTCTCCAAGTTTGCGAGCAAAGCCAGAGGAAGGCTTTAGGAAGGAAAGAGGTGGTGGCTACACTTCTTCCGTCTGCAAAAGAACAACAAAAGGAAGAAGAAGAAAAAAGAATAAAGGAACATTTAACTGAAAGTTTATTTTTTGAACAGTCGTTTCAACCAGGTAGTTTGGGGTTGTTTTTAAAGCCTTTGCGTATACATTTCTAACTTTAAAATAATCAGCGAGCTAAGAATAATTACTAGAAAGATAATCTGCCACTTTAAACCTAATCAACCACTTCAAAACTAAACCTAGAGATCAGGTACCTAAAAAGAGGCCTGGAGCTGGACTTTAAGAGGAGACAATGTGTCTCACTAGATGAGGCTGTAAGGAGGGGCAAATGTCGCCCTAGCCTTTTTTTTTTTTAAGATTTTATTTTTTCCTTTTTCTCCCCAAAGCCCCCTGGTACATAGTTGTATATTCTTCGTTGTGGGTTCTTCTAGTTGTGGGGTTTTTTTTTTTTTTGCCCTAGCCTTTTAAATATATAAAACCTGAGGATGCAGGCACCGTTCTCTACAGTGCTAGCACAATTTGGCAATTGTATACTCTTGTTTCTGTGACTTTCCTATATCCTTTCTCATTTAATTAGTTCGAAGGAGAGAGACTGTGTTTGGCAATAGGCCAAGCTTGGTGCACTGTTCATATTATTGTGAAAAAAAAATCTCATTAAAGTTGAAGTTAATTAAACTAAGTAGATTATAATATCCCCTGTGGGCTATTAATTGAATCCCTCTCCATTCCTCATTTCCTTCCAGTTTAGATATTCAGAAGTGTTATGATATATTCTTTCAACATTGACACTATCCTCATATTCAACTCCTTGGGCGTCATTCCTCCTCCCTCTTAGCTTCTCATTATCTCCCTCCTACCCAATACAAGAGGAGAAAGATAAAATTTTCCATAGAAAAACATGGAAACTTTTTGATAGTGATATATGAACGTGATAGCAGCTGTCCTTGAAATTGCAACATTATATATGAGGAGTTAAAACAAATCTACTTGTCATTAAATTAATTCACAGATCCCTATCAGTTTGTTCATCTTAGAATTATTTCAATAACACAGGGAGTAATGCCTCTTTGATTTACTGTAGCCAAGAGTCTTCTCAGTCCATGTAGGGAGGGCCCAGATTTTCTGGTGACACCAAGACTAGGTTCTAGGTAGTAGCTAGTAGATTCTTTTCTTCTCAGAAACTATTATTGACCGACACGACCAGCTTTTCATCTTTTGAAGTGGAAGGAGAACCACTCGTCAAATGCCACTTTGATCTCAGATCAATATTGTGAAGTTGACCTATAAATATTTATGAAATGCAAGATTCCCCTTTTAAAATGCCTCTTCTAGAACAAGAAAGGCCATATAATGAATATTTGTTTTTTTATGTTAAATTCATAATTTAAAGTAGTCATTGGAGCTCATTTTTGTATTTAACAGACTGGTTTAATAGCAAAGAATAATAAGGGTTAAAAGCTTAGTTATATATATATATATATATATTTCCTTTTATATTTAAATTTATTAGAATTCAGGTAAAAATCATTCTAAAAAGCTAAATAAATACAATGTATATTAGTTTTATTTTTATAACGGACCTTTGGTATTTGAAGTATATTAGAGAATTCTTCTAATTGTCAAATTGGAGTAGGTCGATGAATGAGGATAAGTGATATTGGCATAACACATGGTGGTCTCTGTTTTTAAAACAAACAAACAAGCAAACAACTCCCCAAGACATCCATGTCAGGAAACTCAATGAAGTCAGGCACCTTATTTGTCTTGTTCACCATTATGCCCTTGGCACCCAGCACAGTGCCTGGCACAGGGTAGTTACTCAGGAAATGAGTGCATGGGCTGCACCTGGCATGGTCTGTTGGCTTGGTTTTCTTTGTCTTTCGGTTTCCACAGCTTCTGCTACTCTTTAGAGCAACGGTGATACCACAGTAGAGCCCCAAACACAGCCTTGGCCAACATGGCCTGTTTGCAGGTAGTCACCCCAATGCTTCTAATAATACGACAGGAAATTGAGTAAAGTTTTCTTCTTTAATAGAGTATAATGGTGACTGATTTAGTCAGTGTTGACAAAGTGATATGTTTAACTTCTGTTTATTAAATTAATAGTAAATTAAGTGTGGTTTCCAGTATGTAGAATTCTAAGGTATTTCACCTAAGTTTCTCTGAACTAAAATGCTGAAACGTTGAGATGTTTTAGGGTAGGTATTTAAATGTCATTATTTTTGCACATCTTTAGCTGAGAAAACGTTTATTAGATTCATTACAAGACCAACAATGTTGTGAGGCTCTGTGAACTAGTTGGAAAATGGTTGAAGGCAATATCATGAAAGATTTGGATTTTAAAATATATTGAAAGGCAATAAAAATGAGAAATTTCTTCTCAAATTGTGTAAAAGACATATAGCTATAATAAATTCAAAAAAGAAAATAGCACCTATAATCCCACACACTTAACAAATCTGCTTATATAAGTGTTCCCTGTTACTTTCCAGACCTTGTCTATGCACATAAATACAATTTTATATATATTTTTTCATTTAACAGAAATTTAACTAAGGGAAACCGACAAAGCATGCTTTTACCAAATACCAAAGCCCAGGTTATTAAAAAGACATTTTAAAAACATGCAGCTGAATCTTAGTGGGTTTGTCTTAATTACATTACTAATAAACTGCTATGTCTATGCGATGTTTGAATCAGTGCCTTCTGGCTTAAGAAAATAATGCTCTTTATTATTGTTTATAATAGTAAAAGATTGGAAATGACCTACAGGTCCATCAGTTGAGGATTGATTTATGAATATTCATAAGATGAGATGCCAGGCAGGCATTTACAAGGATCTGATAGGATAGATGGTTATATATTGACATAGAAAGAGGTTCAAATATATTTCTAAATGACAGAAAAAAAAGTTATAGAATAGTATGTATAATACGGTCTCATTTATGTAAAAAAATTACTTTACATCTTTATATGGGCATTTATAAAATCTGAAAGGATCTATACCTAGCTGTTAACGGTGTTCTCTCTAGGAGGATGGGATTACATAGGAACTTTTATGTTTTCTATATCTCTATGAAATTGCTACAACAATGCTGTAGTATCAGAGAAAAAACTATTTCCATTTTGAAAAATTTCAAGAATTTATGCAAATATTTTTGGAATTTCTCTAAATACTAAAAATTCCTTGAAATTGTCTTTGTTGTGGGTTTGCAGCGAGCAGTATAGTTGTCGTAAATAAATGTTTTCCTTGAAAATTTATCTTAGCAACAAATAAAAATATAAAGGTCCTCCATTTGTTAACTAAAATAAGACTTGTTTTTAGGTCTTTATGCTATTGTTGCATCTCAAGCAATAATCGCTATACAATTTGAATTTATTTTCATCTATCTGGCTTTGGTGAGGCTCAATTAAACTTCGCATAACAGCTAAGGTATTAATAATTTAGAAAAGCTGCATTTAATAATAAAATGAACAGTGTTATTTCATCAATAAAACACAAAGATTGTGCTGCTATTGGCTATTTCTTTTAATGAAAGGAAGGGTAGTGGGAAAAACCGTATGACAGAAAATACTGTTATTGAGTTTCTTAAAAATATAGGTATGAATATTGTTCACATTTAGCCAGAACTGTAGACTAGCAGACCTAATAATAAATGTTTTTAAATTTTTATTTTATTGTGGTAAGAACACTTAACATGGCATCTACCCTCTTCACAAATGTTTTAAGTGTACAATACAGCGTTGTTAACTATAGGCACAATGTTGTACAGCCGATCTCCGGAACTTATTCATCTCGTGTAATTGAGACTTTATGCCCTTTGATCAGCAACTCCCATTTCATACCCCACCCCAGCCCCACGCAACCACTATTCTACTCTCTGATTCTACGAGTCTGGTTATTTTAGATTCCTTGTATAAGTAGAATCATGCAGTATTTGTCCTTCTGTGACTGGCTTATTTTATTTAGCATACTATTTGCCAGATATTGTTTCTGCTGCATGCTTTCTTCTTTGCTGTAAACGGTATAGAGCAGAGGAAAAGAATTTTCATAGGCAACTTTAAAACACTCAAGAAGTGCCGTTTTGCTACCATAACATTTTCAAAAATGGTAGCAGGACGCTGTGGTTAGTTATTAGGACCAAACCTGTCTGGAGACCTACCTAAGATACTTCCAGAAGGTAGAGGGGCTCTAGTGCGATGAGCTCCAAATTGGAGTACACACAAGCAATCCATTGGGGTACAGGAAGAAAATATCTGAACTTGAATTTCTACCTATTTTTAGCCCAAATCATTCAGTTAAATTCTCTTTGTGTATTTCATATTAAGCATAATAGTACAGTATTCATGCATATAATTTTATAAACATACACAGATGACGCATGCTCAGACCCTTTCTACCGATTACGGTGAGGTGGGGGGGCGAAGAATGGTGACCTTTCAGTAGAATTCACCACTTCACAATACCATTCAACATTCCATCCTGTAATGACCCAGAGAAGGTATGGGCTTCCAGATAAGTCCAGCAGATAAGCCCCCATGGAATGGGAACAATGGGGAAAGAGTCAGAGAAGTTAGACAAAACCAGACTCCTGGTGAGCAGTAGACAGTATATGTGACCGAATTTTTGTCTTAAGTTGTTTTTAGAAGCAAGCTCAGGGATTTTTGTCTTTTTACAGAAAACAAAACTGTCTCCTCAGGACCTAGCTTATTAACTGTCTTCCTGGGAGTCGTGTGCATCGCAGCTCTGATGCTTCCTACGCTGGGGGATGTGGAATCGTTGGTGCCTCTCTACCTCCACTTAAGTGTGAATCAAAAATTAGTGGCTGCTTATATCTTAGGTAGGTGTTTTCAAGATGCATTTGGAGCATATGTGTAGGCAATTTTTATGGCTCGGAGGTGGTAGTGGTGGTCTTGTGTGTATGAGGTGATGGTTTGATTTTTTTTTTAAGAAAAACATAAAAGATGGCTTCAAAAGCATGTTGAGGTGTAAAGTACATTTTAAGATTTAATTTTTGGCTCACATGTAGTTCTTTTCAGCTTATTTATCTAATACATAATACTGTACTTATTCAATTATTTTCCTTTTGCTAACTTACAATGGTGAAAATCATGTATAAAATGTAGAATGCATATATTCCATGATACAGCAATTCTACTTCTAGGAATTGATCCTAGGGAAACACTTAGACAAAGTGCATACAGTGATAAAGATGAACAATGCAGCCTTATTTAATATTGTGAACCTTTCTCTTTAAACCAGTTCCCTTGTTTCCTAAGTCATTCTTTCAGTCATTCTGGCCTGAAATCTTAGTTAATGAGTTCAACTGAACAAACATTTATTCAGTACCTACCATGTGTCAAGGATGAGGGTTCTGGTGACTAACGTCTCTTTCCTCATCGTCTCCTCTCACTTCTTCTGACGTGCCAACTCTTTTCAGTATTCTCTCTCAGTATTCCTTGGTGCACTCTCTTATTTTTTAATTTCAAAGTTGCCTTCTAAATTGTCTCCCTACCTTCTGTCTGTGTTCCTTCTCTTCCTATTCCTGCCCCTGTCATTATTTTCCCGCCCCTAACCATCCATCACATTGCTGTCAGATTGATTTCCATTCCGTCTTGGTTTAACCACCACTCCCTATTCAAAAGTTTTCAGTGGTTCCCCATAGTCCATGGAATGAAGTAGAACTCCATAGTTTAGCATTTAAGACTTTCCACACTACATAAATTCTTGGTTAGAGCCCGTTAGATTATTTATTGATCCCCGAAAAGCTCACCTGGAGCCCTGATCCTACCTCCATGTTGTTACTCTTGCCGTTCCCTCACCTGAAATGCCTGCCCATCTCATTGTTCTGTATGTTTCCTGTCCATCTCTTAGGCTTATTTCAGCTTTACCTTTGGAGGTATCTTTTCTGATTGCCCTAGTCCTACGTAATTATTCTCCTTCTTGGTACTTTCTCACTTTTTTTTTTTTTTTTTTTTTTTTTACCCCTCGTTTAGGGCTCAGCGTATCCTTATAATACTAAATTTTTATAGTTTTATGTATGAAGTCTCTTCAAAAGAGACAAGCCAAGCAGGAATCTGCCTCTGTCTTTCTGTGACCCTAGGGCCCTGGGATGCAAATAGGCTCACGTTTTTGTTGAAGTTGGCTGGCTTTACTGACACTTCAAAATGCCATGTCTGCTATTATTATAGCTGATGTGACTGGGAAAGTGGGAGGTATACTTGATGGTTAAAAAATTAGCTATGGCCAGGTGTTAGTGACTTAAATCTATCCAGTGACTGGCCATTGCTGTAAATTGGATTTCTTCTGTGTAATACCAACTAAATTCAAACGGACTTTGAGTTCTTGGTAGAGTACCTTCCGATGTGCTGGATTTTATCTGCTCGTTGAGGTCTCAAACAAATGCTTATCGAATGGAAAATTTTGTAAAATGCATGTCTTCAACTGTTCTCCAATTTTTTCTTTCAGGTCTTATCACAATGGCTATACTTAGAACATGAGCAAGGAATCCAGTTGACTTCTGAAGTAAATTTATCTTGAAAATATGAATACGGACTGCCTTTTATCTCTTTCACTCCATTAACATGCTACAAACTATTGAATGATTTACAGTAATTGCAAATGTATTAATATATATTTTAAATTACTCTATAATTTTATTCAAAGGACTCCACATTATGTTACAGACAGCAAGGATGCTTCTGAGTGACACCTAGGAAATTATTTGAAGAAGTTCTTTTTATATCTGAATCTATTGTGCAAAAGACTTTAATTAAAACATTTGTTATTTTCTCATCTTTTTTCTAATTCACTTGGATCGTTAAGGTCATGTGTCCTTCAAAGTTAAAGGCCTAAAAGACGAGCCAAAAAGTAAAATTACATATATTTCCTAGCTACGAACATCAACGTTACTATGTAGATTATACCTTGTCCTCTGTCATTATAAACAGTTGCCATGGTGTTTCTAAAATAAGAGTTTTACAGTTAATGTGTGGAGGGTAAAGAAAAAAGCATAAAGTCCTGAGGGATCATGCTTATCCTAGGGTCTCACAGAAGACAGGACATGTTTAATTCATCTGGCGGACTACAGAATAGGTTGTGGTCCAGACGCCAAGCATGTGGGGTTGTTTTTTTAAACCTAATAGAAGCAGGGTGACCTCTCTCTTCGGTCTAAAGGGAGGCAGGCGTCTGCTTCGTTGGTTTACCCTGGCTTTACCTCTGGACGATGCTTTGTGTTAATAGGAGGAAAACTCACTTCATCTCTTCTCAGCCCTTTGCCTGACTGTAAGTGACTAGCCCGGAGTGGGATTACCGGATGCTGGGGAGATTATGTGGAGATGAATTTTCACCTTCAAACTCGAAGCCAAGTATAGAAAATCCTTGTTATCTGTGTCTATTTTATATCAGTCACTGAGACATGTTTTAAGTTTGTATTTATTAAAACAACTTTACCAAAAAGAATCCCTGAAGCACAACTATTTACATTTCTTTATAGCCTCTTCTGGTCTCTAACATATATATGCAGTTTTAACTGTAATTGTCATAGCAACTGATCTTTTGACATAGGATTTTTATCTGAGAGCACAATGCATTAACAGTCTCTTGAAAATCTCTTCCAGATCTTTTTACAGAATGAATTTATGCACTGCTACTGTAGTATTCTCAAGAAATGTACGTAAATACAAAATGTATGCCTGAGGTTGGTTTTTGCAGGAAACAGTACTTTGCTTCTCAAGTAAAAGCTTTTACGTATACTCTTTCATAGAAAATCCTCAATGTTTAACCATTTGGGGAGCATAAATCATTAAATGGATCATGTCTGTACATTGTGTAATGACCGAAAAGCACATAAATGTAATCTATTTTGAACTTTGTAAAGAAAAAAACAAACTTATGTTTGGAGGCTATCTTTCTCTGTCCATCTCAACTCGTGTGTGTGTGTGTGTGTGTGTGTGTGTATGTATGTGTGTGCGACAACACATTGTAAAGAACAGAAATTACTTTAAAAAAATAAAAGAAAATGGAGATCCGCATTTCACATTGATTTACACATTTTATTTGGGCTACCTCTAAGGAACTCAAAGTTTCAGTCTCCCATTTCCTAAAGCTGTCTCCAATTCCTGTGAGTTAAATAGGAAAATGAGAAGTGAAATACGTGAGCTAAAATGTCTTAAGTTTCTTAATTTGCCAAAGGAGTTAATTTTCTTTTGAAGTTTTGAGTAGGTAACAGTCACATGCTTCAAAAATGAAAAACTATAAAAAGGTATACAGTGAAAAATCACTCCTTGCCAGCCTGTCCACCCCAGTCCCTGTCCACTCAGCCCCTTACAAGTGACTGCTTTTATTAGTTTAAATATGCTTCCATTGTTTCTTTATCCAAGTACATATATATTATTTTAATGCTTTTATGTGTAAGTGGTAACATGTTCTATATACTACAGTGCACCTAGCTTTTTTTCACTCAACAGTATATCCAGGAGAAGTTTCTATACCAGTGATTAAGGAGTATCCGCATTCCTTTTATTACAGCTGCATAGTATTTTCTTGTATGGCTTACAGCATAATTCATTTTGTCAGTTCCCTCCTGCCAGTTCTACCTGTTCTTCCACAGTCTCATCAACCATGTGTTATGCCAATCTGATAGATGAGGAATGGTATCAGTGTAGTTTTAATTTTTATTAACTTATAAGTGATGTTGAGCATCTTTTCTAGAGCTATTTATTCACATTCTTTGTCTCCCACCATCTACTTTCTGGTGGGTGGGTGGGTTTTTTTTTCTTACTGACTTGCAGGAGCTCTTTGTGATATGCCTTGCAAATATTTCCTTTCAGTTTATCGTTTTTCTTTTGACTGTGGCTTATGGTGTCTTTACCATGCAAAATTTATTCTTGGGTAGTTGAATTTAGAATCTTTCATGGCATCTGGATTTTGAGTCATAGCTACAAAACCCTATTCCACTCCAAGTTTACAAACCATAGATACTCATACACACACACACACACACACACTCCAGTTAGAAGATAGAGTGAAGAGAAGAATCCATTTACAATAGCAAAAAAGTAAATTAAAAGAACCCTAGGTTTAAACTTAAAGTCCAAAACCTTTATAAGGAAAACTATAAGACACTCCTGGTTAACACAAAACTAGAACAAATAAAAAGACATCTGGGATGTTCTTGGATAGGTAGTCTTAACATCATAAAGATTGCCCTTCTAAGTTATATAAATTTAACATGACTCCAATAAGAATACCGAGAGGTTTTGGTATCTTTTTTTCACCTAGACAAGTAGATTCTAGAGTTTGTATGGAGAAATAGGTATAGCTAGGAAAACTCTCCAGGAGTAAAGGGAGAAATTTTTGCAGAAATGAAAACTTATACATAACTCCAATAATTCCAACAGTGTGGCACTGGCCCTTGAATAGACCATTGGAAAAGAATTGGAAATACAGAAATAGACCCAAATACATCCGGGAACTTAGATAGAGGTGTCCTCTCAAAGCAGTGAAGAAAAATTACTGGTCAATGAATGACATGAAAACAACTGGATAGCCATCTAGAAAAAGGCAGTTGGATTGATGCGTTCCACCAAGATAAACTCCAAACGGATCAAAAATGTAAATGTAAAGAAATGAAACCATAGAGGTGATAGACAACAATATGGGAGAATTAATCCCTTTGGAATCTTGGAAGGGGTTGATTCTTGATGACTCAGCAGTATTTCATATCAAAGACTAAATTTGTAACCAATGTCTCCCCTTAGCAGTTGTTTGTTTTCCTCCCCTCCTCAGTGTGTAATTCCTCAGTTTTTTAAAAGGACCCCCCCAAAATGAGTTTCCAAAGTAGATTCCCAGAATCATAAAACAATTGGATCTTCCCTGTTAGAGATCACTTACTTCAACTCACTTAAGTCCTCTTTAATTCAAAACCTGCCACATTTTGACAGGCTGTAATCAACAAGAACTGGGTGACTGGCAAGTGATCATAAACTGTGTGTCTACACTGTCTGGATTTACAGTCCACATTGAGTGTGTGGTGGCGCTGGGGAAGGGCAGAAGAGAAAGTGCACCTCAAACAGCCTTTGATCCAATTCCATGCTGCAGGAGTCCAAGGGACCTGAGCGGGCTCTTAAAGGGCAGGCTTGATTCATATACAGAGAGGAGGTGGGTTCACAAGAAAAGGTAAGGATGAATGTGCCACAAAGTGAGGCGAGTTGATTTGCAACAATTTCCAGGGGGACATTTGAGACTATGACGTGTGTGCCCTTATTTCCTGTCCACCATGAAGAAAATATCTTCCTGCCATGATTAAAGGGGCTGAACATAGGCTGGTGAGGAAAGAATCAAGCGTACCATGGGGCCACAGGTAATACAAGGTTTAATGAGGGACAAGGTAAAGATGTAGTTGTCATCATGAAAACAAATATGATTCATCCTGAAAGCAGCTAGCAAACAGGAAAAGCACAGCAAGATGCATGGCAATAGTTGTAATTATCTGTCACTGCAGGTGTTTCTGCCACCTTAAAATCGTTAGGCCTGCACAATTCTGCCACCCGAGTTCACTTCAAAAGGAGTTGTACAAGTCAGCACGTAAAGTTTCAGGTTTCTAGAAGGGATTCTGGAAATGAGCGTCTCCCAGATATTCTCATTCGCCGAACAATTAAATGGGAAGACTATATAGCAGCTGCCGAGGAGACACCTACAGGGTTTCAACATGAACACGGAAATAGAATGCTGAGGTTTCAAAACTTTGCTATTATGAAAGAGATTGAAGATTTCAAGTAGTACTGAAAGCCCTGACATTTTGAGACAGCATGCCTAAAAGGAACAATTTTAAATAGACCCAAAGAAAATTGGAGGAGGGGTGGGACTGGGATCATGTGGCTACACGAGAAGATTCAAATGGAGGGCCCCGCAGAGCCTAGCTGTCGTATCCTAGGATCAGAATGTCATATTAGTGATTATTTCATCAGGAAAATATTTGCTACACCTATAATCTGGAAGTGATAAACAACATACCAGAGCAGAACATCCCACTCCAGGATTAAATACCAAACAAAGTGACAGAGTTGACCCAGCTACTGGCCATTGGGATGAGGCCTTGTCCAGTTTCCACATCAAAGACCCTTTAAGTAAGCCATAGGCAGAAAAAGGAGGGATCACTTAGGACACTGGTTTGGAGAGGTTTTATATGATCAAGAAAACAAAGAAATGCAAATAGACTAAACTCAAGCTGGCTATTTATCTTGTGCATTTAGGTTCTCCCTGATTTGCCCCCGTCACTTGGTTAATCAAAAGATTTCCAAAAAATTAAAGTGCTACCTACCCTGGGCTATGTCAGCTCAGTACCTAATAAAAACGGAGCCCGGTTCAAGGAAGATGATGATGGGGAATGTCCAGCTCACTAAATGCATTTTCCAATTAGCTGGGCGATTGCTTTGTGAATCACTGACTTAATGAGCACACTAGCTAGGCAGTTCAGGACGTGATCCAGGTAGGTGGGGGAAAGCCCTGATTCAATCAAGTGAAAAGAATAAATGAAATGATTTCATGAGGGTGTAGACAGATTTTAGTCCACCAAGGTAGAGATAAATAATGCAAAATCTATCTTGACAAAATAAAGTGTGAGCTGTGCTAATGTTAAGGGAAAAAAATGTGCTAAACCCTGGGATGAATGGGTAAATTACTTTTGCACAATCATAAGTCACGGGAGGCAAGGTTAGGAATGGAATTATTTGGAGAATTGAAACAAAAGTGCTCTCTCTCTCCTAAAGAACATGTTTTTGGAGCTAATCTTGGTATGTACTAGGTAACCTGTATCTTCTGCTGTTTTCAGGCTGTTAGGAAACAGGTGTTTTCCATTTGTGGGGTTTTTCTTAATAGACTTTATTATTTAAAGCAGTTTGGGGTTCACAGCAGAAAGTACAGAGTTCCCATACACCCTTTGCCCCCACCAACTCATGAACAACCTCCCCCACGCTGTCCACATACAGCAGTGGTGCATTTTTTACAATGGATGAACCTACAATGACACATCATTATCACCCAAGGTCCATAGTTTGCATTAGGTTCACTCTTGGTGTTGTACATTCTATGGGTTTGGACAAATGTACAATGACATGTCTCCACCATTATGGTATCATTCAGAATAGTTTCACCGCCTTAAAAATCCTCCATTGGGGTTTTCTTCTTTAACTTAAAACAAGTTATTACGGAAAGTGTTAAATATGTACAAAAGCAGAAAGAATAGCATGATGAACCCCGTCCATGTACCCATCACCTGCCTTCAGAAGTTACCAACCATGGCCAAGCCCAATAAGACATCTGCAAAGGCTATGGGAACACAGCTATAGGCAGACTTGTATTAGTTTTGTGAGAAAAGGGTTTCTTCTCAGTAATTTTTGAGTAATTGAATTATTTTGGGGTGACCATGCATTAAGTATTAAATGTGCGAGGAAGTTTGCAAATGATATCTAGACCCTTGCTACTCCAAGTGTGGTCTGTGGACTAGCAGCATGGGCATCACCTGGAAGCCTATTGGCAATGAAGGCTCTCCGGCCCCCCCCCCACCCCCCACCAGAGCTACTGAATCAGGGTCAGCAGTTTAACAAGATCTCCAGGTGATCTGTATGTGCATAAAAAGTTAAAAAGCACCGATTGTCTGGCTCAGGGTAGACACTTAAAATAGCCTCCTAATAATCCTGCAACAACACCTCAAGGCAAATATCATCATGCCCAATTTACAGATGAGATAACTGAAGCTCAGAGTTATTATTTGGCCTTTTCAAGATCTCACAGTTAACAAATTTAGACCTGTCTGGCTTCAGAGTTTATGATTTTACCACGTATAGCATGCTGCCTCCCAGCTATGGAGTTCACTTTTGGGGCAACTCAATAAAAAAAAGAAAAG